ACACACACTCTCCCCTGCCCCTGCAGTGAGGTTTCCAGGACTGGATCATATCCAGACACCAGCCACTTTAAAGCACCGTCAGAACTCTTCCAAAGTAGGCGGGCACAGGGGGTTAATGCCACTTCTCAACCAATTGTCTGCACATCTTGTCCTCAAAAATGTTCACAACAGCCTTCATTAAGCCAGGTTCCCCGGGCGCACCATTAACTAAACTTAAGAGATCTGTCACTGAAGGAGCCAAGGATTTATGACAGTGAAGCCTAAGGGCAGCAATCGCCAACACACGCTACAAGGGTCTCCCTGAAAGACCATCCAGGTGCTGGCTAGTAACAAATCGGCTTAAGTTTGGGCCAGTTTCTCAGCGTGGTAACAAAGAGACACATTCAGTACCCCCAGCCAGCGCGGTGAGGGAGAGGGAAGAGACGGCGGCCAAGCACAAAGCTCACAAGGCAGCTCGGGCTATAGCTGGGTTGTTTCTTATTTCCAAGGCAACCCCATTACCTCCAAAATCTGGTCTCAGGCGAATGTCATAGCCTTTCAGGAGTCTATCCACCGTCTCTTTAACCAGGGACATATTACTAGGATCATTGACACTGAAGGGAGAAAAGACAATAAACGGGCATCAGTCAGGCAGCAGGCACGGCGCCTCAGCATCCCTCCGACCCGGCTGGCACAGGGATGCAGGCAGAGCCCTTCAAGTGAGGGGGGACCAGCGCCCGGGCGCACTCACCTCTGCGCGCAGACCGCGGCGATCAGCAGGGGGAACGGCCAGATCCCAAGGTAGCCTTTTTTCCGCTCTCTCCACATCCCTTCAGGTTTCGATGGGCTGAGGGGTTCGCCGGAGAGAGGAGACCCAACTTAGTGCGCCCGGTGCAGCGAGGCTAATGGGCGGCGCATGCGCACGGCGCGCCGAGCGTCCGCGGGGCCGCGGCGGCTGCCTGGGACCCGGCGGGTCTTCCTGCTAAAGAGAAAAACAATAATAATAATACAATAAAAATAAAATTAAAGGGGAAACCTATATGTGCCTAGCACACACATCGCTGAGCGCTGTAGGAACGCGGCCCCCGAGACGACCC